ACACGGAAGGACAACAAAGCGAAATCGTTAAAATGACGAATTTCTTGCTTTCCACCAAATAAATTGTTAACATTTATGAATGATTATTATAAATTACTCTATTTGTTATAACGCTAAATTTTGCTGTATTGATATGCCTTTAGAAATACGAAAATATGTAAACAAATGTTTCGGTGACGTATATGCATCTTTGAAATTAGAACTAACACAGCTTTTTAAAATGTCGATTAAATAATGATCTTGACATGTAACATATGCCATATAATATATATATATATATATATATATATATATATATATATATAATATATATAATCAGGGTACAAATAAATAATCGAACCCACCTCTTATCCGACGCCCTCCCCCCTCCCCCCAGGTGTCGAACAAAGTGGGCACGTCCAAGAAGACCCAGAGCGTGCACGTGCAGTACGGCCCGACCTTCCGCTCCCTGCCCCGCGACGTCGCATCCGAGGAGGGCAAGGAGGTCGTCCTCAAGTGCGACGTGGACTCCAATCCCCCGTCCTCCATCGTGTGGCTCAAGGAGGGCAATCATAAGGTAGGGAGAGAGAGAGAAGAGAGAGAGAGAGAGGAGAAAGAAAAGAGAGAGAGAGGGAGGGAGAGAAAGGGAGAGAGATAGAGAGAGAGAAAGAAAGATAAAGAGAGAGAGAGGGAGGGAGAAAGAAGAGAGAGAAAAAATAAAGAGAGAAGAGAGGGAGGAGAAAGAGAGAGAGAAAGAGAGAAAGGAAAGTTGAAAGAAAGAGGTTATGCGAAAGGGTGACGTGGTTGATGGATGGGTTGGGTGCTTTGGGGGATGGATTAGGGGCTTAGGGCGTGATTGGGCGGTTGAAGAATTGATTGGGTGGTTATGGAAGTGATTGAGGGTTGAGAGATTGACTGTGTAGTTGAGAAATTGATTGGGTGATCGAGAAATTAAGTAATTGAGTAATTAAGGAAATGGCATGGGAGACTGGTTGGGTGGTTGAGAGACTGATTGGGTCGTTGAGACTGATTGGGTCGTTGAGAGACTAATTGGGTGATTTGAGAGACTGATTGGGTCGTTGAGAGACTGATTGGGTGGTTTGAATTGAGGGATTGAGAGACGAGACTAGAGACTGACTGGGTGGTTGAGAGACTGATTGGGAGGAGACTGACTGGGTGGTTGAGAGACTGACTGGGTGGTTGAGTGACTGATTGGGTGGTTGAGAGACTGACTGGGTGGTTGAGAGACTGATGATTTGAGAGACTGAGTTGAGAGACTGATTGGGTGGTTGAGAGACTGATTGGGTGGTTGAGAGACTGATTGGGCGATTGAGGCTGATTGGGTCGTTGAGAGACTAATTGGTTGAGAGAGAATCGGTGTGGAGTTGGTTAGGTGACTGTGAGATTGACTGGATCCTTGCAATATGTATTTGTTTGCTCTGACACTGATTGGCAGTTTTCGACTGATTAGATTATTACCGAAAAGACTGTCTGGATTATCTAATCCAACCCACCATCTTCCGTCGTCCTGGGTAATCAGTGAATTAGGATAATGAATCAATGAATGAATTTGAGAGAAAGTGATGACGTCATTTCCAGTAAGCTTCCTTCTCTATGTCACATAAATGTTTAATTTCTTCAAGTTTATTTTGTTTCTCCATTTTTAACAGCCGCAACATTTTTTTTTTTTCTTTTCTTCTTTTTTTTTTTTTTTGAGTCGTTATCAAGGTCATGTTCAGGCTCAATTATATGCAAATTAGTTAGTCTTCATTTATTAATTTCCATTTTCATAAGTATGTTTTGGATAAATATTTACAGTAATTATTTATGCATCGATTTTATTTTATTTTCATTTCCTGTTCATTCATATTCACACGTATGTTTGCTCACACATTCATTCATTCAGCTCATCCTCTTTATTCACATCCATATTCATTCATCAACATTCATTCTCATTCACGCCACACAGACTTTTATTTTTCCTCTGGTTTCATTATACCAATATTCCAAAATAGAGAAAGAGATAAATAGAGAGAGAGGGAGGGCGGGAGAGAGAGAAGAGAGAGAGAGAGAAAGATAGAAAGAGAAAGAGAGAGAGAGAGAGAGAGAAAGAAAGAAAGAGAAAAAGGAAAGGGAAAAAAAAAACATTATGAACTGTTGAACTGTATCGATTTTTTTTCTTTTTTTTTCTTTTTTACGTTTTATCGAGCGTTTTACTCGCGCAGTTACCCTGAGATTTATAGGAACGCACATGAATGCAGCTATTTATTTATAGCTTTCCAATGTCATCTGCCACGAGAAGTTAAAAACGGAGACGACATCTAAATAAAATTGCGTGTGTGATGAAAGCGAATGCGAGAGGGAATGGCAGGGAGAGAGGGAGAGGGACGGGCTGGGAGAGAGGAGAGGGAGAGGGACTGGGTAGAGAGAGGGAGAGGGACGGGCTGGGAGAGAGGGAGAGGGCCTATAAACTGGTAGGGAGACAGGGAGAGGACGGGCTGGGAGAGAGGGAGAGGGACTGGTAGAGAGAGAGGAGAGGGACGGGCTGGAGAGAGTGAGAGGGAGAGGGACTGGTAGAGAGAGAGGGAGAGGGACGGGCTGGGAGAGGGGAGAGAGGAGAGGCCTGGTAAACTGGTAGGGAGAAGGGAGAGGGACGGGCTGGAGAGAGGAGAGGACTGGTAGAGAGAGGGAGAGGGACTGGGAGAGAGTGAGAGGGAGAGGGAGGTAGAGAGAGAGGAGAGGGACGGGCTGGGAGAGAGGGAGAGAGGAGAGGGCTGGTAAACTGGTAGGAGACAGGAGAGGACGGCTGGGAGAGAGGGAGAGGGACTGGTAGAGAGAGAGGAGAGGAGAGGGAGTAGAGAGAGAGGGAGAGGGACGGGCTGGGAGAGAGGGAGAGAGGAGAGGGCCTGGTAAACTGGTAGGGAGACAGGGAGAGGACGGGCTGGGAGAGGGAGAGGACTGGTAGAGAGATGAAGGGATGGCAGGAGAGAGGGAGAGTAGAGAGAGAGGGAGAGGACGGGCTGGAGAGAGGGAGAGGGACGAGCTGGGAGAGGAGAGGGGAGAGGGACTGGGAGAGAGGAGAGGACGGGCTGGGAGAGAGTGAGAGGGACTGGTAGGGAGAGAGGGAGGGCTTGTAGGGAGAGAGGGAGAGGGCTGTAGAGAGTTTGAGAGAGGAGAGGGAGGCTGGGAGAGAGGGGAGAGGACTGGTAGGGTGAGAGGGAGAGAGGAGAGGGGGCTGGGAGAGACAAAGAGAGAGGAGAGGAGCTGGTAGGGAGAGGGGAGAACTGGTAGGGAGAGAGGGAGAGGGGACGGGCTGAGAGAGAGGGAGAGGGCTGGTAGAGAGAGGAAGAGGGACGGAGAGGGAGAGGAGCTGGTAGGGAGAAGGAGAGGACTGGTAGGGTGAGAGGGAAAAGGAGAGGCCGTCTGAGAGAGACAAGGAGAGAGGAGACGGACTGGTAGGGTGAGGGGAGAGAGAGAGAGGGGCCGGCTGGGAGAGACAAGGAGAGAAGGAGAGGGACGGGCTGAAAGAGAGGGAGAGGAGGGAGAGAAAGTGAAAGGGAGTGACAGAGAAAGAGAGAGGCAGATAGACACAAACAGAGAGAAGGAGCGAAAAAAAAACGTGTGTGTGTGTGTGTGTGTGTGTGATGTATTTTACGTACATGGGACACAGATATATATGTATTCATCGCAGAATAGAATAAGAATGAAATTCATTGCATCTTATCCCTTCCATCTTTCTGTCTCTCTTCTCTCCCTTGCTCGCCCTTTTAACTCCCTTTTATCTGCCCTTTTCAACCTCATTTTTACGTCGTATTCCATTTTGTTATATTTCCTGTTTCCGCTTTATTTCACTTTCCTTTCCATGCATGATTTATTTCCATTCTGAATAATGCAAAATGTCAGAAGAGTTATTGCCGAATTCTTTGGATATTTGTCAACATTCGAATCCTTGTTGTAAAGCAATTTTGGATTTGCAGATACATTTTATTTCCGTTCTCCCTGCCCCTACCCCCCCCCCCCCTTCCCCTGCCCCCGTTCGCCGCTCTCCCCCCCTCCCCTGCCCTTTCCCCTTCCGCTTCTTCCACGTTCTTTCTCTCTCCCACTCCTCCTCCCCCTCTTCCTTCTCCTTCTTCTTCTTCTTCTTCTTTCTTCTTCTTCTCTTCTTCTTCTCCTCTCCTCCTCCTCCTCCTCCCCTCCTCTCCTCCTCCTCCTCCTCCTCCTCCTCCTACTCCTACCTCTCTCCTCTTCTTCCTCCTCCTCCTCTTCCTTCTCCTCTTCTCTTTCCTCTTCCTTCTTCTCCTCCCCTTGAGAGAATAACAAAAGATAAATAAACAGAAAGAAAGAAAAAGAGAAAAAAAATACGTAGATAAACAAGAAGGACAAAAAGGAAGAGAGATAAAAATGGATATAAAAATAAAGGGAAAACGAATGACAGATTCATGACAAACAGAAAAATAGATAGATATCAACCGACCAACAGACAGATGAAAATTGTTATAGAGAAATAGTGATAAAGATTTTTGTTATATTTATTATCATTATCATTGTCGTTATTGACTTTGTTGTTCTTATCATTATTGTTATTGTTATTATTATTAACATCATCATCATTATCATTACCATCATTTTTATTTTCATTACCATGAACATCATTAGCATTGTTATCATCATCAGTATCATTATTATGATTAGTAGTAGTAGTAGTAATAGTATCAGTACTATTATTATTGTTGTTGTTATTATTATCATTGTTATTATTGTTATTATTATCATTATTATTATTATTGTTGTTGTTATTATTTCATTTGTTATTATTGTTTTATCATTGTTATTATTGTTATCTTATCATTGTTATTTTTTATTATTATCATTATTATCATTATTATTATTTTTTATTATATTATTACTATTATTTTCGTTATTATCACTATTATCATTATTATTATTATCAGTATTATTTTTATTATTATTATCAGTATTATTATCATCATAATTCAAATGATAATAATAATAGTAATATCACATGTAATTAATATTACTATATCATGATGATGATAGAAATAATGATGATGATGATGATAGTAATGATAATAATAGTAATAGTAACAGTAATGATAATACTGATAATAATAGTAATAGTAACAGTTATGATAATACTGATAATAATAGTAATAGTAACAGTAATGATAATACTGATAATAATACAAATGATAATAATTATAAGTACAGTAATAATAATAACAGTAATAACAACAACAATAATAACAACAATGAATAGAAGAAGCGAAACCCGTCGACCGCATCCTCACACGATCCCCGAAGCCAATCCCCCTCCCTCACTCACTCTCCCTCCTTCTTCCCCTCCTCCAGATCATCGCCTCGGGCTCCGAACTCCGCGTCGTAGTCCGGCCAGCGACCTCGGGCATGTACACCTGCATCGCCACCGTCAGGGGCTTCCAGGAACTGCGCGGGAGCCTTCGGGTGCTGGTCAAAGGCCCCCCTCAGATCGTGAGTTCGAGCGACCAGCAGGGGAGGATGGGGGACACGGTGACCCTCGAGTGTAGCACGGTCTCCATCCCGAGTCCCATAAGGATCACGTGGACGTATAAAGGAAGGGAGATTGACCTTAGTAAGTGGTTGGTTGTTGTTGTTTTTTTGGGGGGGGGGAGGGGAGTCGGGTCATTCAGTGGTTGTGTTTTGGGTGTTGTTATGGGATTCAGTGTTATATCTGGTAGGATCTGAATGATCGTTATATCGTCTTTATAGCTTTTGTCATTACTACTATTACTACTACTACTACTTCTACTATTACTTCTACTACTTCATCTAGTACTACTACTACTACTACTACTATTACTACTACTACTACTATTACTACTACTACTACTACTACATCTACTATTACTAATACTACTACTACTACTACCCTAGTACTAATACTACTAATACTACTAATACTACTTCTACTACTACTACATCTACTATACTACTACTACTGCTATACTACTACTACTATTACTTCTCCTACTACTACTACTACTACTACTACTACTACTACTACTACTACTACTACTACTACTACTACTACTACTACTACTACTACTACTACTACTACTTCTACAACTACTACTACTACTATTACTATTACTTCTACTCCTACTACTGCTACTACTATTACTACGACTACTACTTCTGTTGCTATTATTACTGTGAACGCTACTATTATGAATATTATCTTTCTTTTTGTTATAGTTACATCTAATATTATTATCGTTACATCAGCCTTATCATTATTGTTGTTATTATAATTGTGATTGTTATTATCATTACTATTATTACTTTTCTTATTGTTATTATCATTACCACTATTGTTATTGTTATCGTTATCATGATTATTATTATCAATATCAATCATTATTTTTTTTACTATTATCGTTATCATTGTTATTATTGCTATCATTATTATTTTTGTTTTATCTTTTTTTGTTGTTGTTTTGCATTTAGATGGGTAGTCAGTCAGTCTACATTCTTCCGATCTTCCAAAGCCAATAAATAGATAAAGATATACGATAACCCGAACCAGGTGCAATATTAAATGTTTGCGATTTTTTCTGTTTACTTTTTTTTCTTTTCTTTTTTTGATAGTTAATTAACAGTTAGGACGCTATATGATGTGGCAGATATTTCTCCAGCGAGAAATGTGCGCCAATCTATGCCAGGGGAGTCATTGCCATAATATATACTCCGGGAAGTGTCATAAGGCCTATGCTCTCTCTGGGGGGAGCGAGAGAGGGAGAGAGCGAGAAGAAATGAGAAGGAGAAGGAGGAAAGGAAGAGAGAAGAAGAAGAAGAAAAGAAAGAGAGAGAGAGAGAGAGCAACAGAGGAAAGAGAGAGAAAAAGAGATAAAGAGAAATACAAACAGAGAGAAAGAGCTCTCTGGAGGGAGCGAGAGAGGGAGAGAGCGAGAAAGAAAAGGAAAAGGAGAAGAAGGAAAAAAAAGAGAGAAGGAGAAGAAAAACGAAGAGAAGAGAGAGAGAGAGAGAAGCAAAGGATGAGAGAGAAAAAGAGATAAAGAGAAATAAAGACAGACAAACAGTGATCAAGAAGAAGAAAAGAAAAGAAGAGAGAGAGAGAAACAAAGGAAGAGAGAGAAAAGAGATAAAGAGAAATAAAGACAGACGAACAGAGAGAAAGAAGAAGAAGAAGAAAAAAAGAAGAGAGAGAGAAAACAAAAAGAGAGAGAAAAGAGATAAAGAGAAAAAAGACGAACAGAGAGAAAGAGAAGAAGAAGAAAAGAAAAGAGAGAGAGAAGAAACAAAGGAAGAAGAAAAGAGACAAAGAGAAATAAAGACAGACGAACAGAAAGAAAGAAGAAGAAGAAAAGAAAGAGAGAGAGAAAAACAAAGGAAGAGAAGAAAAGGAGATAAAGAGAAATAAAGACAACAGAGAGAAGAAGAAGAAGAAGAAAAGAAAGAAAGGAGAGAGAGAAACAAAGGAAGAGAGAGAAAAAGAGATAAAGA